AAAAAGTTTCAAAGTTTGTATTTTATTTTCCATCAGTAGGCCTACATGTCAGTAGATCATATCTCTCTCTCTCTTTCTCTCTCAAATGCTTCGTGTGTAACGTTTCAGTGGGGAGGGTGTGCATGTGTGTGGGAGGGAGTGTATCCCGCCTCTACCTGTTTTCGTCTGCACATGGTTTAAAGATTCACATTTTTAGATTCCTTTTGGGTTTTTTTTTTCAAATTTAAAATGTATCTATATAATTTGTATGATTGCAATGAGCATTTTCATCCCTTAATAGTTTATATTATACTTTCATGTAAATTAGTTGAATATGATTTGAGAAACATTTGTTAAAAAACACTATTACCCGCTGAATAATGAAGCCATGCCCTCCAGCGTAGCAACAGTCAACAGTGCTTGACGACGGGGGATATTCCAAAAAATAGCGACTGCGCAGAATTTATTTTATTACTGCGTAATCTTTGTTTCAAATTCAAACGAGAGAGAGAGAATCGAGAACGCAAGAAAACCGTTGTCAACCGAGGCGCTGCCGAGGTGGACAATGGTTTTAGAGGGGTGAAAATTTTCAATGTTACACTCAACTACATGCAATATTTATTATATTATACTGAGTGTTTTATTATACAAATACATATAACAGTGAACAGTGCGCGCATAAATTCTGCTCAGTCGCTATTTTTGGAATATCACCCGTCGTCAAGCAATGTTGACGGTTGCTATGCTGGATGGCATGGCTTCATTATTCAGCGGGTAATAGTGATTTTTAACAAATGTTTCTCGACCAATCAGATTTAACTAATTTACATGAGGTAATGTGAATAAATTTGTTCGGTGTTTTGGTAGGCGAAGGTCAAAATTAGATTATGAACGTAAAGTATAAGCATTAGATGTTTGACAAATAAATAAATCTTGCAAGTAAGCCGGTCTCTGATTGTTAAATATCTTGTACAAAAAATGCATTTAATGTTACTAAGTCAAAAACAGATAGCCACCCTAATTTTCAAATAACGCCTTAGATGGAGCATCAGGGGCAGCATCAAACATAATTCTAGCGGCCCGTTTTTGGAGCTTATGTATTCTCTCCGTGTAACTATGTGGTGCATTACCCCAGATAGTCAGACAATAATTAATAGAAGGCAGGATAAAGGCATTGTAATGATGTTTTCTGGTTTTCAAAGGAAGAAATTTCTTGATTTTCCGCAAAGTAAACAATTTATATTTTAACGATTTGCAGACTACATGATCATGAAAATTCAGTGTTTGATCTATATGTACCCCAAGTAGTTTTCTGTTTTAACATTGTTAAGCTGTTTATCTGAGACATGTAAACTGAGATTTTGATTATCTAATTTTGATTTCTTTTGTTTAGTACCCATCAGCATACATTTTGTTTTATCAACATTTAGAGCCATTTGATTTTCTAAACAATTTTCAATATTTACTAAATCAGAATTTAGAGCTGTTTCAATGCTAAATATATTATTCTCATAAACATGTAGAGTTGCATCATCAGCAAACATATCGATATTTGCATGACTTATATATAAGGGAAGGTCATTAATATACCTGCTGTGACAGGTAAGACATTAGAAGAAGTTATACTAATTTTTACACATTGTGTCCTGTTATACAGATACGATTGAAACCATTTAATTGACAATTCATCAAAGTTGTAATTCTTTAATTTTTCTATCAAAATTTCATGACTCACCAAATCAAACGCTTTGCTAAAATCCAAAAATGTTATATCTATTAGACTACCCTCGTCCATAGCATGCAACCAACATGACCAAGCATCTGTTAATTTGGTTAGTGCTGTTTGACAAGAGTGAAATTCTCTGAACCCAGATTGAGATTTTGTTATAAGATCAAAAGTGGAGGTAAAATCTCGTATTTGGTTTGCGGTGTCCTTTTCAATTATTTTGGATAATGTTGGAAGTATTGAAATGGGACGGTAGTTACTGGGGTCTATTTTGTTCCCTTTTTATATACAGGGGTGACTTTTGTTTGTTTCAACTTTGCTGGAATACTACCATTGCTGATACTAGCGTTTATTAAATGAGTTACTGAATGATTTACTAATTATACTAGCTGATAGTTTTAAGAGACGAGGTCCAGTGAAGTCAATGTCTGCAGATTTATTGACATCAAGCCCGTTCAATGAATCAAAAACTTCCGTTTCACTAATTGGTGTAAGGCTAAAAAAGTTGTCATCACCAAGTTTAGATTGTGTGAATTGTCTTAACAATTCTGGATCGAATTTGTAGTTTGGTAGATTATGTAAAAGTTTACTTGAGATCCCTGTAAAGTGTTCATTAAAAATATTAGCAATTTCTTGTGAATTTTTAGTTTCTGAGTCATTATGAATGATATGGGAAGGAATAAAAGTTTATGAATTAGATGCCAATTGATTAAGATATCCCCACATCTCTCTTGGATTTAAACTGTCTTCGATGGCTGATTTGTAATACAAAGTTTTTGCATTGTCTACCACGAGTACAGCTTTATTTCTCCATGATCGAAAATTATCATAATCTCCATTACGGTGGTATACGAGGGTTGTCCGGTAAAATCGTGGACAAGTTGTCTAGTTTGAAAAATAATCAACAGTGCGTTCTGAAATTTTCACTACTTTTTATAGTACATATATTATGAATATACAGAGCAAATTTCAAACAGATATATGCATAAATAATCAAATTATTAGATTTTATTATACCTCTATTGATAATATTCGAATTTGGTTGGCTGGTAAGAAAACTTTAAAACACAATATTGACTCCAAATGGTACTGTTTACAGCAAAAATGACCTAGGAATCATCGCACGTGGGATATAATGACCCCGAAATAATGACCTCTTAATCAAAAATTCCTTTTTGAGTGAAGTTAATGCATAGAATGATAATTATTCGAGAAAAACAACATATTTTTAAAAATTGTGCATGGTCTGTTTTGCATTACCATACAGAATACTGTAAAATGTCATCGTTAATTTAAACGGTTTACTCATTTCAAAATATCGTTCAATGGTTAACAGTTAAATTCTGTGTTAGATATTGACTGTGTGGAGGAAAAGTAATCCCTAGTTATAACAATGTATGTCGTATCAACCAAATAAGTATTGTTTTAATCAGTAAATCATGATGCAAAAACTTACACGACTTGCAGACGTCAATGTAAACAACTTCACTACACGGAGTGTGGCGAATCCCGATCCCGATCAAAGAAAGAATTGATAACGGTTAGAGATTCATACTTTTCAATATATATCGGTATAATAAAACAATTGATTACCCCTTGTGAGTTCAACATGGTGAAATAAGGACCCTCGACCTGGCCCACTCGATGACCTGCCCTGACTTCGGCTGCTACGCGGCCTCGGTCAAGTCAGGTCACCTCGTGGGCCAGGTCTCGGGTCCTTAATTCACCATGTTGACCTCAAAAGGGGTAATTAATTGTATATTATGTTATGTATTGTATCGACCTACGGCGCACAGATGTTAACGTCAACGTGTCTAAAACAGCGTCACGTTTCATCTTTGCTAAAAATAAAGATGGATAAGACCAACTTAAATTTAGAAATTCCATTGATTCACATACGTGAGTGTCTATTTAACCATTTAAGGTACCAATCTGGCACATATATGCGATCTTCTTAAGATTTATTATGAAGTTACGGACAGTATTCTCACAATCAGTCAACTAACAGACAACCTCATATTAGCAGACGACAGCGACAGCGTCTTTTGCTGAATTACAATAGCAGTTTGTCCGTATACATGTATTTTGTACTACCTGGGGACTCAATCAAAAAGATTTTGCTTAACAAAATACTATTAAATTTATATACAAAAGATCTTGTGATTTTTGTCATATTTTCTTTCTTTTGTATTCATATAAAGTCTCTTAAGGTGTCAGTACAACATCCTAATCTAACTAACTGCTCTCCGGTGCGCCGTAACGTCATCAATAATCCTGATTTTTCGTGCATTGTTTTACCACTTTCCCATTTCGAATGCTCGGAAAACTGCCAAAAAAATTAAGCAAATGCTTTGAAATTTATTTAAAGACGACAAAATTGATTAAGAAATCGAATTATGGTAATTTTTAGCCCAGTTTTATTTATTGAAAACTTTTATTACGAATTAATTCTTGTATATTCTCTAATATAACCTTATCATTTTTACCGTGCGCCGTAGGACCGTACCCTGTACACATTCCAGTATAATAAAATCTTTAATTTTGCCTATATATTATCAAAAACATACTGATGCACTTAAATATGAAGAATAAACATTTACTGAAAATTTCAGCTTAGTGCTTCCATTACTTTTCGGGGAAAACGCTGTGTCCACGATTTTACCGGACAACCTTCGTAAATCCCGTAAATGCCAAGCTTCGTTTATTTTTTTTAGTTAGCCACTTTGGTCTAGTTTCACTTTTAACTCTCTTACATTTTATTGTGGCATGTTTATCATGGACATTTATTATTAAACATTATATAGAAAGTATTAAGAATGTCATTAGGATCGTGTAAGTATGCAAGACTATCAAATTTTTGATTTGTCAGGTCAGACAGAAAATTTGCTTCGTTAAAGTTCTTGAAATCACAGTATTTAATTAATTTCTACGTTGCATGCAATTAGATTTCGGGGTTGCACAAATAGGGTAATGGTCAGATAAGGATATTGGGGGTACAGTAACTTCACATATGTAATCTGATACGATGGCATAAAAGTGATCAATTAAAGTACAAGAGGTGTTATATAGTAGCTCTAGTGGGTGCATTAATAACTTGTGTTAGTCCAAATTCCTCTAAAGCAGATGTCCAGCATAGCGGAGGGTCTCCATTCAATTCACAGGAATTGATCTACATTTATTTTATGAAATAAAACTTGCATTTTAAACAGCATTTACCTTTAAAAAGGTATTTAAATCTCCTTCTAGACCAGGAAGTATAAACACCTGACAAGTAGATAACACGGATATGTCACATGATCAGTGTACATTAAGACTGCACTTGGAAATTGATCAAGGACGGCCACCATCACTGTAGTCAGGTAAGAAAAATAGCAAGTTTTACTGTGCATATATGAATAGTTCACAAAATCATTGAAAATTAAATTCCAAAGACTTTAATAAGGGGAAAAACAAAATTTGTTTTGCTATAAAAATCAAAGATTTAATGAACCTTGTTTACATAATACAATGACTTGTCTATGACATGTACAGGCTGGTAGTACATGACAAAGCCCAGTCCTTTCCACTAGTTTTGAAGAATAGTCAGTATTCTGTACTGTTGTAGCTTTAATATGAAACTTCTTATTAATTGAACATTACTTGGTTCCCCTACTTTTTGCTGCATTAAGATAAAACTGGCAAATTCAAAATTACATAAAACTTAAAGAAAGATCCAACCTCCTTCGAAAATAGAATGAGTTTAGGGAGCTAATGTTCTTGTCGAATTTTTAGGCTTGTCCCCTCTCCTTTGGAAAACATTGCTACTAGCTTCATGTTTTATGCCTAATCTAATAGAAAAATACCGGGTACCAGTTCTTTAATCTGAAAATGCATGTTGCCCTTAAACTCAGTAAACAAATGTGTTATTAATGTTGAATCTTTATGCTTCAGTTACGAAATCTAATCATGGACCCCCGTACCAGTGCCAAGTACGTGATGCGATGTGACCTGTGTGAGACCGCTGTGGTACAGATACACTGTGATACATGTCTTGTCAACCTGTGTAAGGCCTGTGTGGGAGAACATATGATATCTGATCAATCTATCAGTCACAAAGTCGTCAGTTTTCAAGCCAGAAAATCTTATATCATCTACCCTGGATGTACACCTCATAGCAAGGAACGATGTAAAATGTACTGTAAACAATGTGAAATTCCTGTCTGTGTCAGTTGCATTGATTCAAATGAACATTTAGGTCATGAATTATCTAAAATCTTGCGAGTTTTTGATGAAAAGAAAGAAAGTATTACAAAAGAAAGAAATGAATTAAATGATATAATTTACCCAACCTACCAGGACATTGCCTCTGATGTACAAAACAGAATGAGTCAGTTAGAAAAAGAATATGGAGATCTCTCAACAGCCATAACAAAACATGGGGAGGACTGGCACAGAGAAATTGACAAACTTGTCAAGAAACTTAAAGTTGAAATTGATGTGATGAAAAACACACAGTTACAAACTCTACAGAAACATCTGGATAAAATAAACAAGAAAATGTCTGACATCAAAGGTGAAATCAATGCGGCTGAAATGGTTATAGTCACTAATGACTTGTCAAAACTGTTTAATGTCACATCCAGTGTACATATATACAGGAATCTTCCAAACAAAATAATGCCATCTTTACCAAAATTCAACACAGGTAAGCTCCATTTAAGAAAAGAACTTGGTAAATTGTTTGGATCCTTATCATCAAGTTCTTTTACTTTAGATAAACATGGCTACAGCATGAAGACAACACAGAAATCACTAGAAGCTGGATCCCCTCCTCCAGTCAAACAGCTGCTTGATGAACCAGAGACTGTCACCACCATAGACACTGGGTATACAGATAACCTTTACAATGTATTCTGTCTGAGTGATGAAAAAATCTGGACAAGTGGACTCGACATCACCATGAAACTCTTCAGTATCAATCAAAGATCACTACTCAAGTCAATCACAACCAAGTCAGGGAACATACAAGATGACATAGCAGTGACAAAAAGTGGAGATCTAGTTTATACTGATTACACTGATAGAACTGTGAACATCGTGAAGAATGAGAAGATAAAGGAGGTGATCAGACTACAGAACTGGAGACCTCGCAATGTCTGTAGTACCTCCTCTGGTGACCTCCTGGTTATCATGGATAGTGATGATTACAAACAAACAAAAGTCGTCCGTTACTCTGGCTCCACAGAGAAACAAACCATTCAGTTTAATGATGAAGGTAATCCTCTCTATTCATCTGGTCGTTATACCAGATACATAACAGAGAACAGGAACCTGGATATCTGTGTGTCTGACTATGGAGCTGATGCAGTAGTGGTGGTAAATCAGGCCGGGAAACTGAGATTCAGGTACAGTGGACATACCCCTGCTCCAAAGAACAAACCATTCTATCCACGAGGAATCACCACAGACAGTCAGAGTCACATCCTTACAGCTGATCATGTCAATGAGTGTGTCCACATCATAGACCAGGATGGACAGTTCCTCTGTTATATAGACTGTGGACTGCGTAAACCCTGGGGACTGTGTACAGATACAAATGATAATCTGTTTGTTGCTCAGTGGGGAAACGAACGAGTGAAAAAAATAAAATATCTGACGTAATATAAATCACTGTATTGTATAAATTCTTTATTGTTCATGATGTATGATATATAACTGATGTATCAATTTGCTGCATCATAGAATCTTGTAATGATACATACTTCACATGTTTCAGTCTTATTATCAATGTATCGTATTATTAATAAATATGAAAAGCTCACCTGTGCCGCTGACACAGATAAGGTAACAAACTCTTGATTAAAAATTTGAAACTGATATCATCACAAAAGTTTCTATCACAAAATACTTTGGATTCATCAGTAATTGTGGTCACCAATATTCCTGAATTTTTTTAGGTAACATAATTTATCAATTGGTTACAGTAGGAAATATTCACAGAGGGAATAATTTGGGGAGAATAAAAGTTCACTGTTGGTTTTTAATATAGAAAACTGTCAGTCATCTTCAAATGACATTGCATTAATCCTTAAAAATCATATGCTATTCTCCTCCTGGTTTTAATTTACTTGGAAACTACAAGAAAATATGTAAACAGGCCTAAAGCAGTTTGACTCTAATATTTTAAGGCTTTAGTTCGGCCAGACTAGTTCTTTTTACTTATACTAGTTAGTCCGCGCATGATTTTAAGAGTCTGTCAACAAATTAACTAGAAATATGTTAATTTACAGGACATGAATGCCCCGCCGAGGGTACATTAGTAATGCAACATAAAAATTTGTATGAAATTTGATCAGAATACCTTGAAAAGTGATGCAGTTGAATTGCTTACATCAGTATGTAAAGAGTTTGATACTAGTTTGGAAAAGTGAGGTCAAGGTCAAAGGCCAAGGTCAAAATGTTGATGTAGCTCAATTACTAACATGAGTATGTTTCAACACATGGAGTTGACACTAATTAAGAGAAAGTGTGGTCAAGGTCAAAGAAAAGGCCAAGATCAAAAAATGGTGATACAGTTGAAAGGCTCTTATCAGTATGTATCAGCATATGGAATTTGACACTAATTTAGGAAAAGTGAGGTCAAGGTCAAAGGAAAGGTCAAGGTAAAATTGTTGATGCAGTTGAATAGCTCACATCATTATGTATCAGTACATGAAGTTTAAAAAATATCTTGGATGGTTTCTTTAAAACTAAGCTAAACACTAATTTAAGAAAAGTGTGTTCAAGGTCAAAGGAAAGGTCAAGGTGGAAAAAAGTTGACGCAGTTGCACAGCTCTCATCAGTATGTATCAACATGTGAACTTTGAATGGTTTCTTTAAAAGTGAGCTAAACACTAATTTAAGAAAAGTGAGGTCAAGGTGAAAGGTAAGGTCAAGGTAAAAAAAAAACTGTTGATGCATTTGCATAGCTCTCATCAATATCTATCAGCATATGAAATTTGATAAAATATCTTGGACAGTTTCTTTGAAACTGAGCTTTGAACTGAGGGAAACGCAAAGTGTGACGGAAGGACAGAAGGATGGAAAGACGGACATGAAAAACACTATATGCCCCAGCCATATTTATTGCGGAGCATAATAGATAAGTAAAATAAATATTGCAATGCACTTTCTATTTTTTAAAAATAAATAAAGCATTGAAGTTTTTAATTCCAAGATTTGTTGAAATCTCGTGTTCAGGAACTACAGTCTATGATTACATCATCAAAATATCCGACACAAATTTTCTCTGTGTGTAATACTAAATTATGATTGCTTCAATGTTTAAAATTCATACCAATGAATCCTAAAATTAAGTGTCAAATTGACTCGGAATTACCTAACTTCCCGCAAAGAATTAAGAAAGCTAAAAATACATACAGGGTTTTACAGTGAAAGTTGTTGAGAATTGAACATCGGTAATTTTTTTTTTCAAGAAAATTTTATTACCCGTAGTCTGTTCGAACTAATCAGCCACATATTTTTAGTCCAAATGAATATGTATTAGTCTGAGACTAACAGACTAACGTTAATATTGAACCCTGTTAAGAATTTTTGAGACATCTGTAATTTTGTAAAAGAAAGTGTAGACAAAGAAGAATACACATGGTCATACCTTGTCTAGATGGAGTAAGTACATCTGGTAAATCTTCATCATCTGAATCACAATAGCAGTCATCAGCATGTAGATTGGGGTCAAAGTCCTCTCTGGAGAAAAAAAAGATAACACTAGCATATTAAATTTCAATGAAATGGAATATTCTCCAATTTGGTAGGTTCTGATTTACCTTCTCCCATCATCATTGGTAGTTTTCTGTTTCCCATCATCACTGGTAGTGAGCTGCTTGGTGTATGTTTTACTATTTTCCTCTTCAGAGCCCATACAGTTTGGTGAATGTGTAGTTGTCTGCGGATTCAGGGAATAATGCTGAACTCCTTCATCTTCTGTGATGTTTTCCGTAAGAGATGAAGACTTTTCTGAATTCAAGTCTCCACCGTACGGTATTGGAGAGCTTCCCTCTGAGTGATCCATTTTTCCACCATATGGAATCGGAGAGCTGGCTTCGTTATAGTCCAGCTTCCCAACGTACGAGATAGGAGAACTGCTCTCATTGTAAATAGTGTCGTCCCTCGTACAGAGTTCTTCCTCCCTTTCCTCCTGTATCTCTGTTCGCGTCTCGTCTTTCCCTCTTCTCTTCTTTTTCATGGTTTTCCTCTTTTTGTGAACTTAGAGGTCGAGTTTTTGATCTGACCTTTCCTGGTCTTATTTAGTTTTGTTAATTGCGGCGGTGATTCATCACCCTCTATTAATTGATCTTTCTGATTATCACTGTTCGATTTGACACAGTTTGAAGACTTTTTCCTTGACACCGATTTCCCCTCCCTTTTAGGTTAGGTTCTACTTTAGAATAGCTTGAACACATTGGTTTTTTAACAATCCTGAGTATTTTTTTGAGACAGAATTTTTATGCAGACTTTTTTCACTATTTGATTGATTTACTGGTGTGTCACTAGTTTTGTCAATATGTTTTTTTCTTCTGTAACCCGATAGACTTTCTTCACTGTCAACTTGTCTGGGTTAGCACATAAAGTTTATTAATACAAATGAAAGCTTCGCATAATAGTTACTTACATAATATATATGAAAAACAGACACTCAGTCTCAAATATTAATATGATATTTATATCAAATTACTCATAGTATGTCAGAAGTCCTTATAAATTTTCAAAGAGAGATATCAGGAAAAAAGTATGAATTCAAGCTAAATTAATGTAATAAAGGTATTGTCAGGGTTCTAATGTTACTCTGAGTCATGCAAATTAAAAAAAAGCAAGAAACTGATTATCAATGAATTATCTACCTTTGGTAGTACTCTTCAGTACTACAGCCTTATACCCAACCATGAAAATCTTTCCTTTTTTCCCAAAGAAATATCTGTGTCACAGTCGGAGTTGAATTCAATAAAAATACTTAAATTTGAAGACACGCTGTTCTAGTGCAGTGTTAATTTACTAGTATATCATCGTACTTACATGCTGGCGAGAGAGGACATCCCTTCCACTTTACTCATACAATGTCTTTCTCTCTCTCTAATTGTCACTGAAATACAAAAAAATAAGTAAATCAGACATTAACCCATACAATGTTTCTCATTTAATTGTCACTGAAATATAAAAAAATCAGAACATAATTAACCCATACAATGACTCTCTCTTTAATTGTCACTGAAATACAAAAAACAGAAAAGAAATAACTCATACAATGTCTCTCTCTTTAGAAGTCACTGTAATACAAAAAATCGGAATAGAATTAAAATCCCTCGTGATGATACATGTACCTTTATATGAAATTTGAAATTAACAGTATTACATGTATCACTGATAGGTCAACATATTTTTATGGATTGAAATATTACTTAAACATTAACTTTTTACAGATCTACGTAACCTGCATCAAAAATATTATGTTTCTTGTCTTAAAAAGCACAGAATGCCAACTTATATCAACTTGATATTTTCTTCTTACCTAATGCCTAGGTCACATTTCCCGGCCGGTAGCCGTAGACCGGTGGCAATCGGTAGTAATCCGTGGTGTTAACGATGCCCCAACATCGGTCCACATCGGTCTAGTAGTCCTTAAAGTATCAGTCACATTATCCAGTGATGTGCATACGATGGGCAACCAATGAGTTTTATGAGAAAATGGCGTGGTTGCCGGTGTAACGTCGAAAAGTGACCCCCGTAGAATATTGACCCGGGGTCATTTTTCTACGTAGAAATTTTACCCCCTTGTCAATATTCTATGTAGAAAAATGACCCACTTTTCTGTAGAAATTATGGCCTTGGGGTCGTTTTTCTCCGTGTGCATTGTAGAAAAATGACCCCGTAGAATAACGACCCCTTGTCATTTTTTGATGCAAAAACTTTCGTTTTGGGAGGAATATTCTTGTTAGCGAATGTATGCGTGTAATATCAAGCAGTCTTATGCTTTGAAGTGTTAA